GCCCTCGGTCCGGCTCCTGCCCAGTTTGTAGCGAGGTCTGCCCTCACTCGGCTGCCTCCACCTCCGATGCCGCCCAGCGGCCAGGGCTCTGCAGGCGCCTGTCCTTGCTCAGACCTCACACCTGTGCTTAGCTCTTTGTTCCACCTTTGACTCCTCTGCCTGCGCCGCACCCCCACCCCCACCAGTCCACTTCCCTGACCTCAGACCCCCTTCCAGGTGGACCTCTTGTGCCCCTGGCCGCTGCGTACCCCTGCTCTCTGCTTCTCAGATTCTTGTTGGACTTGCAGTAAGTCCTGGCTGTTCCACGTCTGTGTGTTAGCTTGTCTCCCACCCCGGGGGCTCAGAGGGGCCATGCTGAGGACATGTTCCAGGCCTGATCCTCTCTAGGGGTCACTCAAGTCCCCACAATGGCTCTGAGGTGCATCAGAGCACTGGGCTCAGGGAGATGGGTGAGACACTCAAGCCCGTGGCTGATGTGCGCCAAGGAGGCAGGACATCACCCTCTGGCCACGAGGCCTGTGTCCTTGCTCAGGCACCGAGGCCATCCCGCGTGTGTTTCTCTCGCCTGAAGCAGATGCCCAGGCGGCTAATCAACATGAACAAATGCAGGATGGGCTCATGGTTTTCTTTGGCTTTTCAGGAGCTCAAAGCTGAGTGTGGATAAGGAAAGGAGCTATAGTCTGGAGGGTGACGGTGCTCTGGCCAAGGCTGTGCAGCGCTACCTGCCATACCTGGAGGCCCTGTCGCAGGCGGCTTCGAACACGCGCCCCAGGACAAGGCACGACAGACCATCCGCTCAGGTGACCCTTGCAGCTCCCTCTGTGGGCTGGGCATGTCTTACCTGCTGTGTGCAGTTTCCTCTGTGTGCACACACAGGGCCGACCTCACAAGTCCTGGGCACTTCCTGGTTTCTCTCCTGTGTCCCGTGCAGGTCCGGGTGCATGCAGAGAATGGCCCCGGACCCCTTTACAGTCGCACATGCACGCTCGCCAGTCCAGCAGTGGTGGCCCTCCCACCGTCAGTGCTGAGGGCCCTCAGAGCCAGGGGCCGTCATGCATCCCAAGGAGGGGGTTTGGGCAGTTGTTGGAAGTCCAGGGTGATTGTGGGCATGCTGGGTATTTGGCAGCCCTGCACACGCTTCTTTTTTAGTTATGTCCACTGGGATTTGACGTATGTCCCTTTCCACGACTGATGCATGGCTTATAAAAGTCCTCTTCCTCCAAGGCCCTGTTGGGGCTTTAGCAGAAGATGGTTTTGGCTCCAGGAAATATGGGGGAAGCAACGCGGGTCCCTCTTTGATTATTTTCCTGTCGAGAAGCCACTGAAATCACTGAAGCCCACTCTGGACTGGGATCCTGGTAGCACCCCCACACACTTCTTTAGAGGGCTCACTGCTGATGAGGCCGCAGAGTTGCCTTCGCACGGGAGTGGACTTTGAGTAAGTACAGAACCAGGTGCATGTTTTCGTGGGTGCTGCAACCCTGCAAGTTAGGTGTGGGCTGGGAGCTCCCCCACAATCACATTTCCACCCTGGGTCGTGCAGTGTGTCTGCCCAGCTCTTGGCATCTGCCCTGATAGTGGAGGTCTTCTTCAGTCCTCACAGGTGAGCCCCTAGCGGGAGAGAGTAAGATCATGCTGGGAGGGCCCCCACGCTGCGCTTGGCCCGCGCCCACTCTGGCCTGGACCGCTGGCCAGCTTCTCAGTGCAGACCTTAACCCTGGAGGAGCTCACTTAACACTTTTTTTTTTAAATGTTAAGATTTTTTACTCATTCTCTGATACTGACTAAGCACTTTCTATGAGCTGGACACTCAGCTGGATGCTGTGGGGTGAAAGATGGGATTGTCATGGTGTCACAGACCTGTTCCTGGAGGAATTGGCAGTGGGCAGACGTGGTGGGCGAGATGGTGGATTCAGAACCAGTCCCACCAGTGCTGTGTGTCCCTGAGGAAGCTGCTCAGCCTCTCTGTCCTGGGGGCCCTGGCTGTGAAGTTGGGTCATTGTGAGGATTAAGCAAGACAGTACACATCGAGCTTTCAGGGACAGCCTCAATTAATAGTAGTTATTACTTCTCATCATAAATCGTCTTCAGACACAGTGGAAGTAGGTCAGGAGTCTGGAAACCTCTGCTGATTGTTGGAGTGTCCCCGTCTCCCGAGGAGAACCGAGGACCCAGCTGTGCTCTGACGCGGGTTCCGTCCGCGCTCCAGCGCCGCACAGCCAGTCCCACCGGTGTACTCCCTCCACCACCTACTGGAAAACCAGCATCGCCCCCGGGTCCTGAAGATGGGTAATTCAAGTACATACAAACCTAAAAGCATCATTTCGTCTGCCTCCTTTTCCTCTGATGTGTCTTCATCAAAAGGGACACGAAGCTTCCTGCTCAACCTTGGCTTCTGCTGTGGGTTTCTGGGCTTCTGTAATGGAGACATTGCCTCATGTCCCTGCGTGTTGGACCCCGAGCAGGTTGTGGAGGGGGGAAGGGCAAGAGAGTCATTAAAATTTCCCAAGACTTGGAAGATTCAGAAGATGCTGAATGGAGGAACCAGCTGGAATTTCTCTGTGAAGCGGTTCACCATGTTCCCCTAAGTCCGGTGATTTCTCCGCTGGCTGCCAAACCAGAGAAGGAAGGCGGGCAGGCTCCAGGGCAGTGGCTCACCTCTGTCCCACAGGGTGCTGGCAAAGCCTCATCAGCTGGCCCCCTTGGTCAGTGGGAGCCTTGGCGTTCATTCTGAATCCAGCACCGTGTTTCCCCTTCAGTGTGGTCAGCACTCTCTTAGCCCTGCACTAAAACGAGAGAGTCAAGTTTAGAACAGAATTTGCTCCCTGGACATGCAGGGGCACGGAAAGCACCTGGATTCGCAGCCGTATGCCGTGCTGTTAGCACCCTGCTGTCAGTAACCCGAGAGCATGACGTCAGGCTCAGAAATCACCTGCAGTCAACTGTGCAGCTTGTGAAGTGGGACTTCTGAGACTCACGTGGCCTGTGCCAGGAGTGTGGGAAGGGTTGCGGCCATGTGGTGGGAGGGGGCTAATAGCAGGTCCTGGGGGCTCTCGGGTGGTCCCAGGGCACGACCTGCAGGTGGTGAATAACTCTGCCACATCCACCTCCGTGGATCCTGTCAGGCCTGAGGTGGTGGTAGGGTGTGTGAACGTGTAGCTTCCTTACACTGGCCAGTAGCATTTGCTGCAGTGTCCTTCCAGCCCTGCTCCTGTACCCTGTGATTCTACCACTGAGCATCTGGACACACATCCTGGGATTGCTCTCAAGGCAGCCTTCCCTTTCTGGAAGAAAGCGTGACTGCTGTCTTTGCATGGACCTGAATTCCTTCGAGAGCCTATGACTGAGATGTGGGGCCATTGCCTCTGACTCTACCCTAGAGCCCTGGAGGCAGAGGGAGAGGTGGTATCCATCCCTCTGCCTGCACGCCGTTCCAGAAGAGCCAAGTGGGAGAGGGGGGCTGCCACTGGCCTCACCACACATTGCATCCATTTGACCCTGCCAAGTTTGGCTTCCATTGTCCTTAAACATCCACCCAGTAGGAGGGCCATCCTCCGTAGTTTGTCTGGGCACTGTCCCTCACAGATGTCCCGATCTGAATCATGGATTCTGCGGTCATGCTACCACATGGCCATTTTACCACCACAGTCACAAGGATTATGCAGGAAATGAGCACTTAGAGAAGAAAAGAAAATGAGCACTTGGTGGCATTTTTGGCTTAGGCTTTTTTCTTCTGTGTTGAGATAGATGCTTCTCACTATTAAAAAATGCATTAAAACCTAGAACTTGTTATTTTCTCTGTCCAGTGTCCTCTCTCTGATGAACAAAGCCTGGATAAAGCAAAGGAAGACCGTGATCAGATGTTACTGAAGCTGCTGTGCAGACTTCGTTGCCACAAATGTACAGCCAGCCCTGGCTTTGAGCAGGGTCTTCTGCTCTCCACCCTCTCAAGGGATGAAAATCTAAGTTGGAAATTTAAGCTTTATACACCCATGACCTTTCAAGGTGCAACCAATTTCCAATGAGTTATTTTATAAATAATCTTTTTTTATGTACCTTGAAAAGCCTACTCTAGCATAGGTCAGAGAAACATTGTGGATTTATTACCTTTAGTTCGCTCGACTGCGAATTACTTCCTGACAGAAGCCAGAGGGAGTCAAACAGCCTTGCGGCTCTGATGCATGGTTGAGCTCCTCTCAGTCAGTGTCATCGCTCCCCGTGTGTTGTCTGTCAGGGGTGCAGGCAGCTCCTGTTTCTCCTGACCACGGCAGCGTTGGTTAAGTGTCCTTGTCGCTGTAGAGAACACAGGAAATTCTCAACTTACACTATGCTGTTGAGGAGATTAAAACCAAAATTCATCACTTGGAAATGCTGTGAATTAACTGATTTATTTTGGAAACGTTGTCTCAGCATTTTTCATGTTCAGCAGGCTGCACTAGGTGCCACGGTTAGAAAGGTAAACCCGAGTCCTTCTGTTGGGACCTCACAAGTCCTCCCAGGTAAGGAAGACACACAGACGCAGTTAAGGATGGAACAGCACTGCACTGCAGGGAATGCTCAAAATAAAGGAGACCCGTGAACCAGACAGTGGGGGAGTCAGCGAGGGCTTCTCGGGTTGGGTACTGGAGGAGCATCCAGAAGTCACCAGGTGGCCTCAACGTGCAGAATGTCAGGAGACTACCCCAGTCCCACCTAAACAGCATGAACAGGCCAGGTGAGCTACCAATCCTAGCTTTTAGAAAACCCTTTGGATTGCTGATGATACAAAGAAACCCAAATGGATTGAATTCCAGAAAGTAATGAGGTCATTCTAGGGGAGAAGAGGCCCACTCTTTTCATACAGGCTGCAACAGCAGGAGGGGAACCAGCTGTAGGAGGGATGAAAGAGCACGGCCCCAGCTTTAAGGAGCCATTGACCATGCATGGGGACTGGCATGGGGGGCAGGAGCCCCAGCAGGAGCTGCATGGAGCACTGAGTGTATGAGAAGACAGTGCACTGCAGGGGGAGACTGGGAGCACCAGACCCTTCTGAGCACCCCTCAGCAGCCCTCTGGAGGCTTGGGGCAAAGCAGAGTGCTGGAAGAAGAGCTACCTTATGGGGAGCAGAGAGGTGGGGCCCACAAAATGGAATTGGCTATAAATCAGAGACAGCTCTCATGCTCAGAAGAGTGGCAGCCGTCTGCAGAGCATAAAGCCAGAGTTGCACTAGGGCTTAGATCCCAGTGATGCCGAAGAAAAGGCCTGACCCCACCCTTGACATAACTATAGCCAGGAGTTACTGAATCCAACTCTGCAGCAAAACCAACGCCCATTTCAGATACAGCTCACGTGAATTCAGCCCCACGATAGCAGACTGACAAGAGAGGGACTTGCCATTTCCCAGGGACAAAGATTACTTCCTTCATTCTCTGTTATTCTTCAGACAAAACCCAGCTTGCAGTCAAGAACTGGGAGACATAGGAAGGGACAAGAAGATGGGACTCATGGTCAAGAGAGGAAAGAGGCAACAGAAGAATAAAGAATACCCAGATGTGACTCGGGTGTTGTAATGATTAGAAAGGATGTTTTAATAATGAAATATATTAAAGGATTGGGTGGGAAAGGTGAAAAAACATAAATGAACAAATGGAAAGCTGCAGCAGAGAGATGGAAACAATAAAAGAACACCAAATGGGAATGCTAGAATTGAAAGCAATCAGATCAGAAATAAAGAAGTCATTTGATGGGTTTAGTAACGGACCAGACACAATAGAGGAAAGAATCCTTGAATTTCAAGTCAGGTCAATAGGAATGATCAAAA